AACTTAGTACAAAAAAAAAAAGAATTAACTGTTACATCGACAGATTACCAATATCGTTGGAAACTAACTATTTATTGATGAAAAAAAACTAAATTGCTGGATCTTTTCTACTTAATTAAATGTGAATATATAGTTCTAGATTTGTGGTCGTTATAAAAATTTAAATTATCTAAAAAATTTTTATAAAAAAAAGAATATCTACCAAATTTTTGATATTTGATATATACTATCATATTATAGTGAAAGTATGTAAACAAATTTTTAAAAATTACTAAATAATTAAACATTTAGAATACATTAATTTTTTCAAAGTCAATATGAATGAACATGTAGGATTTTTATTAATTTTCATATTTAAATTATTCATATTTGTATAAATTCACAATAAATAAGAAAAGAGACTGTACTAAGGCACGGATAAAATTCTAGTTTAAGAAGAAAGGAGGGGGGTTTAGTTCTTTATCTCTTTTCTTGCTACCTGGCTTCCTAATAGATTGACAAGTGGCATAACTCTAATATTTCTTACCTCTTGGATATCTTTTTTTTTTTTTTTGTCTCTTTGTTCATGCCAAACCAAATAAGTCTGGCCCTTATGTTGTCCTTTCTGAGCCCAATGGATTTCTACCTATTATATAAAAAAGACATGAGAGTTTACGGTAATACCCCAAATTTTTAACTCGTGCCATAACTCTCTTTTGAAATAATTGTGATTTTTTTCTCATTTTTTTATTTCTCCACTTCTACCTTGATGGGTCAAGATAGAAGATCTACTATATGGGTTAAGATAGAAGATTTTTCACTACAAGTCATTTTGTTTAACTATATGAACTTCTACTGCTTTTATGTATTGTCAATTTATGACTAAATGATCAAATTTTACAAATTAATGAAAAAATTTAGTCCTTGGATATTGATTAATTATGTTTAATTAGTATCTCACCCAACTCTTACATTTAAACAACTCATTTATATGGTTGTATTACAAACCATTTCTCAGAGTTGCATAAAAAATCAGCTTTCTTTCTTCCTAATTGCACTTAATTGTGCACTTGTTTTATTATCTTCCTTCATTAATTTCAAAATTTGTGATGGATTTGATAGATCCTTTTTTTTTTTTTACCTATTTCCCATAATCATAATATGGTTCTTCACTTTCGCTTCAGAGAAATTGCAAACTCAATTGACTACTTTTGGTTCAATTACAATTAAAGCTATGTTGCTATTGAATTGATAATGCATTCATAGTGTATGTACTATCTCTTCTTTTTTGGTGTCATCATGTCACATAATACAAGTTTAAATTTCTTTGTCCAAATTACAATAATTAGGAGACTAATTTCATTTCTTATAAATTCAGAGATGGAGGAAATGGCTAATTTCATAGATGGAATTTCTCTTCATAGCAAATTTTAATTGTTTTGATGCTTAAATTTTCTCTTGCATTTTTGTTTATTGTATACCAAAAAGATATGTTGCTATATGTTGAATTAAGCTATCAGGGTCCAGGCTGTGCAAGGTACCGTCAAGGTACCTCCAGTATACTTAGATAGCTTTACTAAATGAAATTGAATTGGGCCACATGTACTACATGCGGCACCCATTGTTTTACTTCACAAAAAAGAAAATTCAACAAATGCACAGCATGTACTACATGTGGTTCCCTATTTTGCAAAAGAGCTCCTCGCACAAAATGTGGCCCCCTAGTTTCCAAAATAATAAAAAATTAACATTTTTCTAAGAATTAAAATTAAAATTAAAAAAGCCGTTTGGGTACGCATGTAAGGATATGCAGCACTCGTAATGCTGATTTTGGCAAAATGGGCACTCATAAATGAAGAAAAGACCAATGTTTGCAGAATCGGACCGGACCGGCTAGTTCGATCGGTTGGACCACGAACCGGACATACCACCGGTCCAATCTAGTGTCAAACTCGGAAGTTAATGAAAAATCGCTAGAAACTGGTCGAACCGTATGAACCGCTAGAAACCGTACAAACCGTAAACCGGCGACTTTTTAATTTTCAAACATTACACCCCAAATTCAAAATAATGTCAAGAATGAAACTGCTAGGATTCGAACCCTATTCTCTATGGCCACAATAAGGCACTCTTACCACTAAACCACAGCCACAGGACAAGTTCATTTTGTCTAGAATTCTACTTAGCTTGACTAAAAAACTAAAAATCAGATTAAAAAGAAAAGAAACCCTAGCATTAAGAAAAGACACAACAGACGGCACATTTTCAGTTTTCTTGCTTCACTTCCTTGGCTTCTCCTCTTGATTTTTTTTTCAATTTTTTCTTCCTAACCCTTCCTTATCCAAATATCCACGACAAGATTTTTCTCAAGCCTTCCCCATGATCATCAGGCTATTATCTTTAGCAGATTTATAGACAAGTTGAAATTTTCAACTTTCATAAGATATCCGAGACTCGAGAGCTTTTCCATCATTTTGGTGAGTTTAATTTTTTCCTTTCAAGATTTTTGTTTTCTATATTATCTTTAGCCAAATTTTTCATATTTTCTTCTTTTTTCCCCCAATTTTCATCCATTTCCCCCCATTTTTGTTTGATTTTTGTTTGATTAGTTAATGATGAAATTATGAATCATGAATTATTTTGCAGTCATATTTGGAGAAACTATTTTTTGGATAAAGTATCAAATTAATAAAATTAGAAATGTTTGGATTTTTAATTTTGTATTTTTTCAGAATTAATCTTTGGTTGAGTTTTGTCTGTTCCATTCTTTTTGGCAGCATCCTTCCGGAAAGCAATGATGCATTGAAAGATTCAATTTGGCTAGACTCAGTTTGTATCAATGATTGTTCTGCTTTTTCTATGTTGTTTTATTGTGATTTTATTGCTTTTTTAGTTTTATTATCATTGTTTTGTCTTCAGTAGAGAAGCCTGGAATGTCCTTCTTTTGTTCCTTTAATGTTGTTTGTTTGTGTGATACTGATGTTTAGTAGCAATTAAATTTTATGTGTTTAGTTGTATCTTTTTTTTTTTCAAAATTTTTTGGCTTTTTTTTTGTAGTTTGAGCAATTAAATTTATATTTTTGTAATAAAGTTTTAATTTTTTCAGGTTAAATTGATGAAATTGTGAAGGTGGTACTATTGCCTTATGATGCCAATGATAGAAGTTTGTTATTCATATTGTTTGTCTTGAATATGAGTTGGACTCTTTTATGGACTTTTTTAGGATTGTAAAAGAATGTCGACATTTATTTTATTTATTTTTGTGTTTTTGTTAGTGATAATTGGTGAACATTTGGACTATATCTATTTATATTTGTAATGAATTTATGAAAACTTGCGGTGAATTATGATATTTTAGTTATATTTATCATTCCAGATTTCATGTATAACTTTTAGAAAATTTATTATTATCTTAACTTAAATTTAGTTTTAAGTTATGTTGGTGAATGCAATTTGGGAACTTAAGTTATCAGTAACCATGTTGGATTGTGCATTAGCCATTAAATTCAAGTGTAGAGTGAAGACATGTGAAGTACTTAGTACTAAAGTTGCAAAAAAAAAAAAAAAGAGAACCGGTGAACCGGCCGGTCGAACCACAAACTTCCTCCTCTCGGTTCCCTGATCGATCCGAGTTTAAAAACATTGGAAAAGACCCACCACTTTTCTCATTTTATTCATTTTTTTAACAATATTATGAGAAATTGACCTGTCCTCCTGTCTTGAAGGTGTGAAAGCATTAATCTTTCAAATGTCGACAAACCCTTTGATTAACCTTTCCATTTAGCCATTTGAGAAGTGCACAAATTTTCTTATACATCAATAAACTATTCATAACTTAAATTTTGAATTTGTTTGGTCACATTGTAGATTCATCTTAAGTCATCTCTTCCGGACAAAATGTTCACACGTTCCTCAACTTAAACAGATTGGTTTCCATTCGGACATGTGTTAAATTTATGTTCAAACATCCAACTAGGACTGCAAACGAGCCGAGCCGAGTCGAGTTTTGAACTAATCGAGCCGAGTCTCGACTAAATTTTACCAAGCTCGAGCTCGAGCTCGACGAGCCGGCAATTTTCAAGCTCGAGCTCGACCTCGAAAAAATTAAAAAAATAATTATTTTATTTTTAAAAAAATAAATAAAATAATATTTTTTTTCTTAATAAATAATAAAATATTAAGGATATATACGTAATTTTACTATGAAAATAAAAAATAAAAAATAAAAAATATATATATAATAGACGTAATTTTATTATTAAATAAAAATTAAAAAATATATATATATATATATATATATATATATATATACTCAAGCTCGTGAGCCGGCTCGCGAGTTAACGAGTTTAATATTCTGAGCTCGAGTTCGACTCGAACTTGACTCGAGCCGCTCGCGAGCGGTTCGATTCGTTTGCAGCCCTACATCCAACCAATAGTTGGTTCCCCGTTCAGTCAATGGTTTGTTTTGACCAGTTATCCAAACGATTTAAATCTTTAGGGTATGCCAATAATTTAGTTAGGTACGGTGCCCTTAGTTTGCTTCTGGTTGTCAAACTGCAAATTTTATGGCCTCGATTCCGTCTACTTGCATCCACTCGTCCAAAAGACGGAAGTAGCCTGGCTAATTGACAACCACGTGAATGATAAAGGGGTCATTATATGGTAGGAGCCGTCGTAATAGATTGTCGCATCAGCTGATGGATTGAGCTCTTCGTAGCCATTAGCGTGAGAACATGAAGTCCTGAACCACGAGTTGTGCGGCCCGTATTAGACTTTTCCCAAATTTTTTTTAGGTAGGAAAGAAAATCATTACATTAAATTAAACAGAGTTTATCGAATGAGGCGATCAGATTCTTCAGAAGCCCTTGCAATCATTTTCAACGAGTTTAGAATGCCCGTAGGTTTACAAGAAAATAAAGTCCCTGATTTTTTTTTTTTTTTCCGAAACGTTAGGAATTTTATATATCATACCAAAGCTATACACTGTTGGAGCAAGGGCTCCTATTTTGACATTAGTGCATTTAGCACTCTGGGATGGAATAGTTCCACTCCATATCACAAAAGTTTAGAAGAGCAATTTTGCTCAAACTATAACACAGGCTATCACAGTCCTCACTTAACCTTTCAAAGAAGCACATTCGAAACCATGAAGTCATTTTCTGTATGTCCTCTATTATAGTGGTTTCCTCCAAACTTCTGGCTTTTCCAGCTCGTATATGGTCCAGCAGCTTTCTATCCTCAATTCGTATCTTGATGTCCCTCCATCCTTTTGTTGCTGCTTTGATCATACATAGCCTCACCGCCTCTACATTGTCCTGAGCTCTGTTCCTTGCTTGTCTTTCCCTTAGCGACCAGGCTGCAATTCCTTGGCCTGCGCCATTTGCAGCTGTGATTCCTATGCCGAAGGAATTGTTTCCATTCTGGTGTTGGGTCGCCAGCTTTAGCGTAACCACTTCTGAACTAGTTTGCTCGCATCGATAGTTCTCTTCTTGTCTTCTTGTTTCTGTTGTGCTTTTTCTTGGTTGTTGTTGACTTACTTCCTGGTACTCTTTCCATTCTTGAGTAGCTTTTTCACTCACTTTAAAGGGGTGTTGTTGTGCTGAGTTGAAGATTCTGGTGTTTCTCGCTTTCCAGATTTGCCACAGCACATTGACAGTTAGCGCTATGTGATCCTCTCCTCCTTGCCTGGTTCTTGCCTGCATCATCATTGAGGTCCACCATTGTTTGAAGCAGCCTGTTTGGTCTTCCAACCCGTCCCAGTTAACTAAAGCAAATTTCCAAATCTCTTTTGCTATCTTGCATTGCAGCAGTATATGCTCTATTGATTCCTCTTTTTCTCCACATCCACAGCATATTGATTCTCCTCTTCGTGTTCTATGGAAGATTTGGGCCTTTGTTGGTATTCCATTATTGATGCATTTCCACACAAAAATTTTCAGCTTATATTTGATAGGTAACTTCCAAAAAGTGTTCCAAAGTTTCCCATTTGCTTGTTGATAGCTGCATCCAGTTCCTTTGTTGCTTTCTTCCCTTCGTTTTCTCTTCACTTGCTGCAGATATTTGTAGCCAGATGCTACAGTGTAGTGACCTGTGTTGCAGTGATTCCAGACCAGACAATCCCCTCTTTCTGCAATGCTTAGTGGGATATTGAGGATATGTTCTGCATCTTCCCTGTTAAACACTTTGAAAATTAGCACTCTATTCCATCTATGCTGTACAATGAGTTGTGATACCTTTTGCAGCCGGCATCCCTCTGGTTTCTGAGTAAATAAAGTCCCTGATTGGCAAAGGGAGTTTTTGACAAGTTTCTCTCCTGCTAATTTTTTAATAATTTTAATCATAATAATTTCAAAAAAAAATTAAAATTTTAAACTACACACCTCAAAATATTTAAAACATACAAAAAATTTGTCTTCGTTCTTTCTTCTTCCACCCCAAGCCACCACCACCTCCATCACTGGCCTACAACCTCTTGCAGCACTGATCACCTTTTTTTTTTTTTTTTCCCTTTCTCTCATCCTCCCCTCCCCCTCCTCTCTCCCCCTCTCCTCCCCTCTTTCCCGCCACCTCTCTTCCCCCTCTTCCTCAACCACCTTCCCTTTCCCCCTCTACTTGATTTGGTCGTGCAACCAAATCGGGCCGTGGGGAGAGGAAGGGAGAGGGGGAAAGGGGTGGAGAAGGGGAGGGAGAGACAAAAAAGTAAAAAGGAAAAAAAATTTTGTTTCCGCTGCTGCAACTTTTGGCAGGGGGCGGGAGAGGTGGCGGGGGAGGAGAAGAGGGTGTGGGGGAAGAGGGGGAGAGAGAAAAATGTAAAAAAAAAAAAAAAAAATTGCTTCTGCTGCTGTAACTTCCGGCCGGGGGAGGAGGAAGAGAGAAAAAGAAGAGAGAAAAGAAAAAAAGAAAAAAGTTTATCTTATAATTTTTACAATAAATTATGATAAAATTTTAGACACACACTAAAAAATTTAATTTGCCAGACAGTCCTTTGTCTTCGTTCAACTTCTGTGAATAGCTCGATCAAAAAGTCTGCACAATTGTTAGCTTCTCCAAGCCCGTGCCTGATGGTAGTTTGTCGGCGGAAAGTTCCGCAGGATAGCCCTGCAATCACTTAGTACTGGAGCGTGGAAAGTTCTGCAAGATAGTCCTTTTTGTTTTTTGTTTTTTTTTTTTTGGGGTGCCTCCCCTCTCCTCAAATCACAATACAAATGTGCCATGTTCATGGACATAGCTAAGCCCCCAACAACCTTCGGGAGTTACTCTAAAGTTGCTTTGATAAAATTTATGAATGCACCGGGCTACTTTTGAATATTACCAATCTTTATAAAAGCAATCATAATTAATGGATAGCTATGTTTGGATACAAAATTATTTGAAGTATTATTTTGCTTGCATCACAGGTGCATTTTTCAATTCAATTTTTTTATATTTTTAATTACTTTTTTATGTTATATATATCATATTACAAAAAGTGTTATAATAATTATTTCAAATAATATTTCAAATAATACCTTATACAAAAATATTGTTTAATTTTCTACTCCTGTGGCTTTAAAAATGTATCAGTTCATAATATACTGCAATGAATAATTAAGCAAAAACTATGTAGAAGATGTCATTAAATTTACTAAATAAGCGAAAACATATTTATGTTATTAAATTTCAGCACTAAGAAAAATACTTTGTTAGAGGTTATAAATAGATTTAAAAAAATGGGATATTGGCAGTGGTTGTTATCTACTTGATTATACAGACCACTTTCTTATTTGCCTTGATTATTGTATTTGTTTAATGAATGTTTTCTTATTCATACTATGTATGTTTATCTAAATGATTCATTTCTTACTCGTACCATGCATGTTTCTCTAACGAAATACCCTTTCTTTGTACCAAACAAGTATTTCACGTATAATCATATGCCTCTGCGTTGTTTTTGTATAGCCAACGTAGTAGTATTATCAAATTTCTGATTATATTTCATTTGCCACTATGTTTTTTAGGAAACTAGACAAAGTGATTTTTAACCGGAATTCTTTTCAACCTGTATGTGACTTTTTCCTTTTCTATTCCTCATTTATTTTTGTTTTCTTTCATACCAAATATCGTATGATCGATTCTCTTAATCGCGAAACGAAACTTAGAGAAATAAAAGTTTTGTTTGGATAGAGTATTATTTAAAATATTATTTGGAATAATTACTGTAGCACTTTTTGTGATTTAATGTATGCGAGATAAAAAGGTAATTAAGAATATAAAAAGGTATATTGAAAAATGTATTTATGATGTAAGCGAAATATTATTTGGGATAATTTCACTATCCAAACAAACCACAACAAAATTTACATCAGCAATTGCTACATACATCTTCATTATGTACCTTATATACATAATCTAGAAATTTTTATTTATTCCATAAACACGTGAAATTATTTCCATAAACTATGTAAGACCTTTTAGCCACAAGCGATTTATGAATTAACTGCATTTCATTTTCATATATAAAGCATATATGTTCAACTTCTAACCAATTAGTTAAACTTAATTTCACTTCTATACTTTCACACAGGCCAATCCTATCATAAAAGACGGTCACACTCATTCAGAGTACTCCAAAATGCAAGTTGTTTTCGTAATTTGCCAGCCTGGAAAAGAACTACTAAAGGGCCAAATTGTATAAGTTTCACTTTGAATGGTAAATTATATATGACTATCCCTAACTTCGTGTCCATCAAATTGTGAGGCGTGGCCCAAGACATTATATCAATTTACTTCTGTAGAGCTTGAGGGTTCTTTGATGGAGACATTATATCAATTTACTTCGAGTTAGAGTTTTGTGATTTTGAGGCCATTCATGTTTTCCTTTTAAAAAATTAGATGCATCTGCAATTTCCCTAGCACGATTGTGCGTCAACTTGCCGGAGTCCTCCTACACGATATCGCTTTGGTGTTTGCAATTTGCCATTATGTGTCATAGTTTTGGGGGCTGTTAGTGATAGAGGCTAGTACAATATAGGAAAGAATAAATACAAACCGGAAAGAAAGAAATGATTGAAAATAACAATCCAAGACTTGTGAGCACAATTTCCTTAAAACAGATTCGCCTCCTACAGGTTGAGTGTTTGAGGTTCAGTAGGCGTTTGTCTCCCAGGATACAACGGATTAAAGGTGAAAATGTTAGTACCAAACTTCTTCACCACAGCGAACTCGAACTAGAGCAATATGGAACACTATAAAAGATGAAGATGCAAGAAGAAAAAATAGAGAGAGCGATTCTTTTTTAAACAAAAAGAGAGTTATCTATTTATAGATGCTGGCCAAGATTGATTGCAGAAATTGGAAACAAATGTTAAATTCCACTTAATTATCTTTTCACGTACATACATGTATTCTTGATAAGAAAGCTCCAAATTCATGTATCAATAATTAAGTACATGAATACTTAATTCCTAAATACATGAATCCTTTCTCGAGAAGAAAACTCCAAATTCATGTATCAATAATTAAGTACATAAATACTTAATTTCTAAGTACATGAATCTTCAGGTACATGAATGATAGATAATTATCCTTGGATTCTATCAAAAGTGCCATTATGAGAACGATTTTCTCATTCACTCTACAATGGATTTTTCCATTTTTCCGACAGGGGCAACATATTCACGTGCCATCCAAAAGTTAGCTACGTGTCATGCTTAAATGCCACCAAATCGGCGTTTCTATAATAGGAAAGCCCGTACCATTCCTACCATATCCAATTCCGTCCCACATCGAAAGATCGTGGGGCATTAGACTTTGGGTTTAAAGTCCATGGGTGGCCGATTCTGTCACTAATAGGCTGAATCTGATTACTTTGTGGATCCCCCTTAAATTGTTTGTTTGGACCGTTTTTTGATGACTCTTCGAGTGTTAATCTAACTATGTGCGTGTATTTTTGATCATTTGTGAAAAAAAAAAATCCCCTGATAGAGAGGACGGGGTATAGAGAAATCCCTTCCATTCCATACGGTTCCTAAAAGTTCAATGCTGGTGTCTCTTCACAAGCCCACAAACTATTATCAAGAAAACTACAACAACTTTTGTTGCACGCAACAGTTATCGAAACTAAAGCCAGTCAACGTTATTATAAAATCAGAGGAGGGGGAGATGACTAATTTCATAAATGAAATTTCTCTCTTCATAGCAAATTTTAATTATTTTGATACTTTAATTTTTCTCCTGTATTTTTGTTTATTATATACCAAAAAAGATACGTTGCTATATGTTGAATTAAGTTACTTGGGGTCCAGGCTGTGCAAGGTACAGTTACTAAGGTAGTTTGGATTGCGATTTTTTGCCAAAAAATTACGTCATTTTTCGTGATCACATTTCTCTATTATCTTTTTTCCTCACATACATCAAATCGCTACAGTAATTTTTTCATAAAAAATGACGGAAAATATAATCTAAACGGATAGCTTTACTAAATGAAATTGAATGGGGCCACATGTACTCCATGCAGCACCCATTGTGTTACTTCACAAAAAAAGAAAATTCAACAAATGCACAGCATGTACTACACGTGGTTCCCTATTTTATTTTGTAGAAGAGCTCCTCGCACAAAATGTGGGCCCTTAGTTCCCAAAATAATAAAAAAATTAACATTTTTCTAAAAATAAAAATTAAAAAAGGCGTTTTGGGTATGCATGTAAGGATATGCGGCACTCGTAATGCCGATTTTGGCAAAATGGACACTTATAAATGAAGAAAAGACCCAACACTTTTCTCATTTTATTCATTTTTAAAAATTTTTTAAACAATATTATGAGAAATTGATCTGTCTCCCTATCTTGAAGGTGCGAAAGCATCAATCTTTCAAATGTCGACGAACTTTTTGATTAGCCTTTCCATTTAGCCATTTGAGAAGTGCACAAATTTTCTTACATTCAATAGACTATTCATAACTTAAAAATCAGAATTTGTTTGGTCATATTGTAGATTCATCTAAAGTCATCTCTTCCGGACAAAATGTTCCTCAAATTCATCCGGTCATGTGTTAAATTTCTGTTCAATCATCCAACCAATAGTTGGTTCCCCGTTCAATCAATCGTTTGTTTTGACCAGTTACCATAAATCTTTAGGGTATGCCAAAAATTTAGTTAGGTAGTGAGGATGGTCGTTTCAGCCCCGATAGTCTAGGGCCTCACCCCGCAAGATTACTGGAGTTCCACCTCGGCCCTCCATTTGGCGAGGTGGCCTTAACCCGTCTTATCACCTCGGCAAGGAGCTTCAGAGCATGAGCCGAGGTGATGCCTAAATGGCAGACAACTGTGGAAAGGTGGGAAGTGACCCCTAACACCTCTGATACCTGATGGAAAGCTGTTCTGACACATGCGCCGCCTGACTCTGACACCTGTTCTGGCGCACCTTTTCGCAGGGATATCATATCAAATTGATACGCTGACCGTATCAGATCTCTAGGAACCCGTGCCAGCAGTTTCTCCTCAAATCAGTCCTCTATAAATACTCAACACTCCTACTGAGAAGGGGGATGACCATTTTCTGGTAAAACAAGTTACTTATTTTTTCAATTGCTATATCACTTCTTCAATACCGAACTAACTTAAGTTTCGGAGTTACACCGGGGGATTCAGCCCCTCCTGTAACCTAGGCAGGTGACCTCGTCCCAGTGGATTGTCTAGGATAGAACACTTCTTCAGTTTGAAAAATTCACTCCAGCAGGACAAGAATCACCTCTTCAATTGGCGCCGTCAGTGGGAACGTGAAGACATCAGAATATGAAGCTTACGCGTTCTAGGAGCAGGAAAGCCCTCACTATTGGGGCTGAGCAAAACAATGCAACTCAACAAGAAGATATTTCCGAATGGCATGAGTCTCCAAGGACTCATCCCGCAAATGAATAAGCCATAACCCGTATGGCCGAATTTATAATCGAGAATCCCAACATTTTCGAGGAGTTGGGGAGGTACCTAAAGAGACAAGGCAAACAGAAGGCTGAGTCCTCTAAAAGGAAGTCAGATGGATCTCCTGAAGGTTCATCTGAAGAGGAGTCTGATGGAAGGCGCCTCAACCGGAGTGCTTCAAAACGGGCATTCTCTAAGACTACCTCCAAAGTAGCCTCCTTAACCAAGGCATTTTCCCGAGGGCTCTTGGGGCGACGACCTGAGGAAGAACCTCGGCCCCTGGGAAGACCCGGGGTGAATTACATGAAAGTTCCACCTTTTACTGATGACATCAACGAGGAAAGGCTTCCTCCCAATTTCAATCTCCCATCGATACAATCTTATGACGGCCGAGGTGACTCCGAGGATCACATCCTTGCTTTCATCCCGGCCTTCCGCCTATATTGCATCCCTGACCCCGTCATATATCGGGTTTTTCCAGTGTTCCTCCAGGGGACAGCTCGAAAATGGTTCTGGGGATTAGAACCTAGGAGCATCTCAACCCTGGGGGAATTAGTGGAGAGTTTTCTCCATCGATTTATCTCCTCCCGACCTACGACCAGGATCTCGGCTTACTTGCTGAATATGCAACAGAACCCGGGAGAGTCACTTCGGTCGTACGTCCAGAGGTTCCACGAGGAAAGCGTACAGATACCTGACCCCAATGAGCAGGTTACTATCGCTGCTTTTACCAATGGGCTCGTTGCCGGGGTATTCAATACGGGGATCCACAAGAAGTACCCCCGCACGCTCCACGAATTGTGGTTGAAGGTCGAGAAGGGCATACAGGCCGAAGACCTCAACCGTATGAAGAAAGAGGTCCAAGCCGCCCGCCCGAGGGCTGATTCCCGAAGGGGGAAAGATCTTGGCTGAACTGAAGTGGGGACAGGGAGTGGCTTCCAAAGTCCTAGCCAAAACCGCCGCAGCGTGTTTGATAGGATTTCCAAGGGGAAGTCATCCATCCCTGAGTCTGAGCTAACTCCTCTGAATACCACCCGATCCCGGGTGTTGTCCGTAATGGAACAGAACAACCTCGGGAAGGCACCTCCCAAGATGTCCGGCTGCAGAGATAAGAGAAAGTCGAACCTCTACTGTCTGTATCACCGAGATATCGGGCATGAGACTGAAGATTGCAACGACCTCAAGAGAGTGATTGAGAACCTCATCAGACAGAGGCACTTGAAACAGTTCGTTCGTCGAGGTGGAGGTCATCAGCGTAATGAAAATCGACGTGACGGACGAACTGACCAACGCCGAGACGAAAGGCGGACGTCGAGAAGCAGCTGTCGACCCCCTGAGGATCCTAGGGAGACAAAAAGGCCTCCCCGAGATGGATCTTCAGGTCAGGGGTTAGGATATGAGCCAAACATTACTGAAGTAATTAACACTATTGCCGGAGGTCCAACGGGAGGAGATAGCCAGAACTCCCGGAAGAGGAGTTACAGGCAAGCCAACTCGGATCAGGCCGAGCCGAGCTCTTGTCTACCCGAAGTAATTTCTTATGGCCCTGATGATCCTGTTCCAGCTGCCTCGAGTAGCCATAAGGCTTTAGTGATCGAGGTGCTCACCAACAATTACATCGTCGAGAAGATCTACGTCGACCCAAGAAGTTCGGTAGATATCATGTATTTCCGCACTTTTGAGTGCTTCAAGTTGGGTAGAGAACACATGGCCCCGGTGCGAACCCTTCTTGTAGGATTCGGGGGACACATTGTGCATCCCGAAGAGATGGTGACCTTGACAGTGATTGTGGGGCATCACCCCCGTTGCCGAACCATTCCTGTCAATTTCATAATGGTTAGGGCTGACTCTCCGTACAACTTACTCCTAGGTCGGCCCACGTTTAATGCTTTGCGGGCGGTATACTCCACTTACCACCTGAGTTTCAAGTTTCCTACCCCTGCGGGGGTTGTCGAGATCAGTAGCGATGTCTGCGCTGTCCGAGAATGCTACCTCGCCACTCTACAAGCAGCCTCCCCATCGACCTCCGGTGTGAGGTCTGAGAAGAGGCCAAATATCTTTTCGATAGATTGCCTCGATTCTCAGCAAGCTGAGAAAATTCCGAGGCTGGAGAGTAGGGATGAGGTGGAGGAGATTTTCCTGGACCCCACAAAACCGGATCAGACGGCCCGCGTCGGCACCCGACTGCCTGGCCCGATTAAAAGAGGTATGGAGGACCTCCTCAGAGAATATCGGGACGTCTTCGCTTGCGCCGCGGATGAGGTCTGGGGAGTCCCGTATCACCTCATGATACACAAGCTGAACGTCGACCCCCAAGTCCTACAGTCAAACAGAAAAGAAGGCACATCGGCCCTGAGCGCAATCGAGCTGTCGGTGAAGAAGTGGATAAGCTCCTACCGGCAAAGATAATCCGGGAGGTCCAATATCCGACCTAGTTATCCAACCCGGTCATGGTCAAGAAGGACACCGGGGTTTGGAGAATGTGCGTCGACTTCACCGACCTAAACAAAGCCTGCCCCAAGGACTGCTTCCCGTTGCCAAAAGTCGACACCCTGGTGGACTCGGCAATGGGTTACGATGTCCTTTGTTTTCTTGATGCTTTCAAGGAGTATCATCAGATTGGAATGAGTCAGGAAGACCAAGAGAAGACGGCCTTCTACACTGACCAAGGCACATATTGCTACACCACCATGTCTTTCGGACTAAAGAATGCCGAGGCCACGTATCAACGCTTGGTCAACCAAGCCTTCAAATCCCAGATCGGGCGAAATGTCGAAACCTGCGTGGACGACATTCTCCTCAAGAGTCAGACTACCTCCACTTTCCTCTCTGACCTGAGAGAAGTCTTTGAAGTCCTCCGGAAGACGCCAATGATGCTAAACCCTAAGAAATGTGTTTTTGGGGTCATTTCGGGAAAATTTTTTGGCTACCTCGTCTCTAGACGGGGCATAGAAGCGAATCCGGATAAGGTGAGAGCGATCCAAGAAATGTCTCCACCTCGGTGTATCCGCGACGTGCAGAGGCTCACAGGGCGGTTGGCAGCCTTGAACCGGTTCTTATCGCAGTCAGCTTCCAAGGCGTTGCCTTTTTTCAAGGTTCTGAAGAAGGCAGATAGCTTCTCCTAGACTGAAGAGTGTCAACAGGCATTCGAGCAATTGAAGAAGTACCTTCACCGTTTCCCGAGGCTCACCTCACCTCGTCCAGGGGACAGGTTGTTCCTGTACCTCTCTGCCGCGGTTGAAGCTGTGAGCGCTGTACTGGTAAGGGAAGAAGGTGTACAAGTTTCAATTTACTACGTCAGCCGAGTCCTCCGGGGTCCGGAGACCAGGTACACACAAGCGGAGAAACTTGTGCTGGCCTTGATCCACGCTGCCTGCAGGCTCAAGCCCTATTTCTTAGCTCACCACATCTGTCTGAGAACTGACCAGCCCCTCAGGCAAGTCTTATCACGGCCGGAGGCTTCCGGACGCCTTACTAAATGGGCCATCGAACTGGGGGAGTACGACCTGTCTTACGAATCTCGTACCGCAATCAAGGCTCAGACTCTCGCGAATTTCCTAGCCGAGTTCACTTTTGATGAGGTGAATGAAACCACCCCAGCTACAGCCGAGCCTCAACGGTGGATTTTGCATGTGGACGGCTCGTCTAACAGTGAGGGTAGTGGGGCAGGCTTGCTCCTCGAAGACCCCCAAGAAGAAATATGCTCATATGCGTTAAGATTTGACTTTGCTGCTTCCAACAATGAAGCCGAATACGAGGCGGTCATCGCCGACTTGCAGCTAGTTCGTAAGCTCGGAGCCGCCCACATCTTAGTCTATAGCGACTCCCAGCTCGTTGTATGCCAAATACTGGGCGAATATGAGGCCAGGGAAGAGGTGATGTATCGCTACCTCTCCAAGGTCCTCCAGTTGGTGGCACATTTCAAGTCTTTTGAAATTTAAAGGATATCGCGGTCGCGGAACAGACGAGCTGACGCCCTTTCCCGACTCGCTTCCACCTCGTTCTTTGACTTGAACAAGACGGTCCTTGTCGAAGTCTTAGCCGAACCGGGGTACATAGAAGAAGTCGTGTGCCCCGTTTACGCCGAGAACACCTGGATGGGACCCCTGGTTCGATTTCTCAGCTAGGGGGAGCTCCCCGAAAACCGAGCTGAGTCTAGAAAGTTGCAGCGTAAAGCAGCCCGATACGCCCTCCGACAAAACCTCTTATACAAAAGGTCGTACCTCGGTCTGTGGCTGCGGTGTATTACGCCAGAAGAAGGCGAGAGAATCCTCTAAGACATACACGAGGGACTTTGTGGTGCTCACGTCGACTACAGGATGCTGGTCAAAAAAGCTTTGTTGCTTGGGTATTTTTGGGCTACCATGAGGGTGGATGCCCAGGTCATGGTCCTTAGTTGCCCTTCTTGCCAGCACCACGCCCAATGAGCACCACCAGCCGACCAATCTTATGATTCCCATCACCTCGCCATGGCTGTTCGAGCAGTGGGGGACTGATATAATCGGCCCATTTCCTAGAGTCC